ACATACGTATACATACATATATGCGTCGGTTATCTACGTCTAGTGTACGTGTGTAGTAGGTCTAATGTAGAAGCCTAGTGTAGATGCGTACGCGGTTATCTACGCTGGGGAGGGGAGGGGAGGGGAGTGGAGGGGCGGAGAGGACGGTGGTGGTGGGGGCGGCGGGGCGGCGCTACACCGAGCCCGGCAGCGCTGTGGTGCGGTCGAGGTACACTGGGTGCACATAGAGAGAACAACGGTATACTACACGCGCTACCACGAGCGGCACGACCATCCTAACACCACATACATCAGCAAGAGTAAACGTGCGTAAGCGAATGCATTAATTAATCCTGAGTAAACTTTCGTATGTGCCCGTTCAAATGACCGTTTCCCTTTGTAACGGGCGATAATTGGCTGGTACCTCGTGCATGGTTCCACTGCGGTACGCTAAAAGTTATCGAAACAGACTCGTAAAATTTCCTGTCTGTATTGTCTGGTAATCGAATACAAAAGTCACAGGAAACATAAATTTAGTACAAAATTGGTTCTAAAATTGTTTTACGGAGTTTCGATGAATATTTGGATATTTATTTATTGGATAAAGTAGTCACTGCGAAAATCCTATTTTGGCTTTTGGCCTTAACAACCTTTTTTGTGCTTAAACGACTGAATTATAAATAATAATAATAGGATTTGTCCTTTCCACGAAAAGAAATTTTCAAATAAATATTATTATAATCGGCTGTGGTTGTTAAGTATTCATTGCATTTAAATCAGTATTATTTATAACGAAATAGATTAATTGAAAATATAAATAAGCACTCGACTTTCTCGTTTTTTCTTTAATAGTAAAACTGCAAATGTAAACGGTCGTTTTAGTTACTTTTGCTGATGAATGTACAGCTAGTCTTGTCTATGCCACTATTAGGAGTTATAGTTCAGATTTCTATTATAAATGTAGTATCTCTGTTGTTCTTTCTAATATAACGCCGCGGACGCACACACAATCTCTATTCTTCATCATTGTTGATTCCCAATATTATTTATTATTTACTTTTCAAACATAGTGGACGGCTAAAACTAATAGTTTAAATGTTACACTGATTGTGATGTCAAACCAATAATATTATTTATTAAATAACATTTATTTATCAAATCACTTGTTATTTGAATTAGTAATCTTGATAAACTATGACAACCAAGCAACCTTTGTCCCAAAGTCTATGACATTTTACTTAAAAAAATTATTACTTTGTTTTTATATTAAAAATAAACAAAGTAAATAAACTTATGTACGATTTACACTTAAACATACTGAAAATGTATTTTAAATAAATGTAAAATATGAAAAAACTATAAGACTATACAAAAGACTAATGATATTCTGCTAATAAAAGGAATCATTAAAAGATAATTAATATAAATATATATATATAACCGGAGTGATATATTAAGGTAAATAAATAATTAAAATCATTTGTTTGTTTAAAATAATTGTGCAGCGTCCACTGCGTGTATTTGTAATGTATTGCCGATGAATGAATGGTGAAGCAAATGCTCATTAATTTGGAATAAGCGCGCGCGCAGCGGCGCAGTGCACGGTGACTCTAAGCCAATTGTACGTGAATCAGCAATACAACACATGACACATATGACTCAATTATGTAATTAAATACATGCAATTCATTAATAACAAAAAATTAGAAAAGAAATAATTTATTGCTAGTAGAAAGACGGACGGCAAACATTTTCAAGCGAAAAAAATATTAAAATAAAAATTTATATTTCTATTGCACTATGGACGACTTTGTGTGTTACTAAAAGACTTGAAAATGGTTATCCGTTAAACAAATCTACAGGCGTCGTTGGAGCGTCTTCGTTAAATTTATTCAAAAGAAACGGTCCAAAAACAGAAAGAGTATGTTATTGTCAAGAGCCAATCACACCAAAGAAATATGATGAAGCAGCGTGAAGAAATTTTGAATTTTGAAGCGGAGTGGTAATGTGGTGCCCTACAATACTGTAGCGACTACTGTCGAACGCGAGTCAGATCTTATACGAGAGTGAAGACGTGTATGAGAGACCCCCGCTACGTCTCCATACACTATTAATTGATGTTAAAGAAATTTGACAAATTTGGCAATTGTAATAGAAGATATATGAAAAGTTTGGATTAGCTCTGTGCACCAGAGTGAGTTATTTTATTTAGAAAAACTTAATATTTTGTGTGTGGTGAAGTTCTAATTAAAAATAAAATAATAGTAGACATTTTTTGAAAAATGTAAGTATTTTTTAAAATAATAATAATTTTCTATAAATACAACAAAATGCCATTTAATCTTTTTCTTCTATAAGTTTATAACTATTTTTGAAGACAATAATGTATTATTAACAGCAATGCCTTGACATTTAAATATGAGTTATTATTTATATATATGTTATTAAATAGTAAGTTATTACAATGCTTGAGGCAAAGTATCATTTTATTTTGATCGAGTAACACTTATTTGATATAGTATAAAGTATGTAAAATATAAAGTATGTAACATTTGATAGTTGAGAAATATACAAGACGAATACCAAATTTTTCATATATCTTCCAAAGGCACATGTATATACCAAAATATAAATAATATGATCGCAAACGTAAATCTACTCAACCCTAAATATTACAAAAAACAAGACGCTTTAAAAGATTTTTATCAAAAATAAATAACTTTAGAAAAGATACCAGGCGTCATATTTAAAATGCAAATAAAAATGTGATCTATCAACAAGACATCAAGGTATCTTTTGGTTTTAAATAAAAAACATATGAAGACGGTCATGAACGAGGTAAAAAAATAATTTAAAGTTCATATAGTTAAATATTACAGTTATAATCATAATAATTTTAGGAAAAGACAAATTTTCTGTTCATAAACCATCTTGGGACATACTTAAATTTGAAATTATAAACACGGTCGGTCTATCATTTCGAGTATTATAATAACGTATCACAATATAATCAGAGCCCATGAAATGGATCGACCGTATTTACAATCTGACATACATCGAAACTAGCAAAAAAAAAAAAATACAATAGATTAAATAGAATAGACAAAATTTAAGCTCTTCCATATTAACGAGAAAAGACAGGATATAAATAGACTAGACATTTAAAATGATCACAACATTATTATCTCACCGGGATCGGCGTAGATTTAGTTCCAGAAAATAAAAATTCTAGAATATTTGCGGGCACGAGGAGGGGAGGAGGGGAGGAGGTCGGAGTACTCACCGAGGCCGACCTGGCCGATGGGCCCGAAGACCGCGGGCGCGTCCTGCGCGTGCGCGTGCGCGTGCGCGGACAGCGGGAAGTAGGCGGCGGCCGACAGCGGCGCCGACAGCGGCGCGGGCAGCGCCAGCCCCAGCACGCCGTGCTTCACCAGCAGCGCCAGCGCCGCCACGATCTCCGCCACGCCCGCCTCGGCGTAGCCCGCCTGCCGCAGCGCCACCTTGATGTGGTCCAGCGTGTGCGGCGTCAGCGGCGCGGGCGGCGGCGTGCCCGGCGGCGCCAGCGACAGCGACAGCGCCAGCGCGCCCAGCCCCGCCGCCGCCGCCGCCGCCGCGCCGTTCACCAGCACGCCGCCCACGCCGCCCACGCCCACGCCCACGCCGCCCACGCCTCCCACGCCGCCCAGCGCGTGGCCCTGCACAGAGCGAAGCCCCGCCCCCGTTTAGCGCCCGTCTCTTTCCTCGAGCTCGATCGTCCCGATGTTTGCGCTCGAACGATATACCTTGCCGATTTAAAAAATATATACCGCCGTTATATTTTTAAAAAGCGGCGAGCCGGCCGCGACCCCGGCGACCGAAGTCCCCGTCGTTCCATCGCAAACGATCTAATCTAAATCTAATTTCTAGACGTCGCCGTCCTCGGAGCGCTAGATTACAGATGAAAATTATCGAACACTAATTTTCAGTTTGTTACCTCTCATTCGGAGACGAAACGTCGACTCGATCGAGCTGAAATACTAATCGTAATAAAAATATACGAAATATTATAAAAAAATAAAATTTAATACACAAACAAACAGTTTCAAAATGTCGTTTTAAATTGTAATTATTGCCGATAATGAAAAAACGAAATCTGTTACAAATCTATATACCGTATGAACGAGGAATAGACAAAAAAATCAAAACTAAAACTTAAGTGTTCCGCATCATGAGACCGACCAAAAGGGGCGTGCGACCACTTAAACACGCTCGCGAGCGCTTCCCACCCTTTAACGGCCGCCGAGGAACCGAATGACAATCTCAACAAAACGCTCCGACGATCAACTTTGCTCCGTTACAGTTAAAGTCTAGAACGCCTCGTAATATAAACTTCACTGCAAATCAGCACTTTATAAGATGTCGGTTACGTCACGTTTACATTTTTTTGAGTAAACCACAATACCTTTTGCGAATTATTTATCAAAATATAGTATCCACACTATTAAGAAATTATAAAAATAACTGAGACTGAAACGTATTATGACATTCTATTTCTAAAAAACTATTGGATATATATATATATATATTTCATACAGCTATTGCAACACTCTCAAAAACTAATATTTTCCGTCATTTTATTCACAAACTGTTCAGTTCTCCAAAATTTTAGTTCAAAGAACGACCACATCGTTCATAAATATACAGCATCGTTTATGAACAACACTATGTCACGTCCAACGACTCAAAAACGTATGTCAAATCTTTATTCAAATTGGTATCATTAATACAAACTTTTCCGTCCATTATTTTTGCCCTAATACTGATTCCCGGTCGATTTTTTATGAATCCTGATGAATAGATTGAATTCGGATCTAATTCTTGCACAGCAACATATGGCCTTCCACAGGGGTCTCACTTGGGTCCTAATTTATTGAAGTTAGTTAGTTAACTTAAAAATAAACATGTTAATCAAGATATGAAAAAGGAAAGTTACGATATTACACTAGCATTACTCAAACGTGAAGTTTCAAGTAATATAATCCAGATACGACTGAAAACTATTTTAGAAATAGCTCTCAAAATGAACTCCGCCGTCTTCAGAACAGATACAAACGTAAAAAAAAGTCAAAAAGAAAGATTTTAAAATTAGGAGAACTGATCTCATCACAGCATTTTCGACGCTCTGATGAGATCAGTTAAGTGCACATAGGAAACGTGAGCGAGTATATGTGAGAAGCGTGTTCAAGTCGGTCACCTCTGTCACCTCTGTTGAGACAGCGTACGGGGAGCCGGTCGGGTTGTAGTTGGCCACCGGGCCCGCCACGTCCGCGTACGATACGTTAGGACACGAACCAGACTGAGGATCGTCCACCACCTTCTGCAAGATCATCAAGCACGCCTTTTTGTTGCCATCCTTCTCACCTGAAACGTTTCAATATAAGCGTATAACATAAGATACATGTTTGTCTCATCCTATTTGTCTTTTAACATTTGTTTTTCAAGTTTAATTGCTAACCGATTACATATTGACAATATCGACTAGGTATTTTTACACAAATATCTTCTGGGTTCGTTTAATATGATAAATAGATACTACGTTGTTCACACCATATTAAAATGGTTATAACTAATGTGTTTAATAAGCAGATTTTTACATTATATAATGTTAGAAGCTTATAATGGGATAGGATCAAATATTTGAAGAGAAAGAATCGCGTGCAACAAAAACTCTCTATTTTCTGAAAAAACTCCGTAAATTAAAAAAATCACATGAAAGTAATGTAAAAAAATATCACCGGTTTCTATTATTCTAATTCAATATCTGCATTAGCCGTTGCTATGCACCTAAAACGTCCTCGACCCACTGTGCCATAGATTCCAATATTTATAGGCTCCTATAATGAAGGTTGTTCGGCATCGCTAATAATATGTTAATATTAATTATCGCGCACTATGACAGAATGGAAATTTTTCAATGGATCAAAATTAACAGTCATATTTCTGTAAGTCACCAAAAGATGACTACGTATTTTTGAGTGACTCATATAAAATCCTTTTGCCGTCTGTACCTAAGTCAAAGTCGACTTCTTAATCATATCTACTTTCTGCATATATGAATCGGTCAGACACAGGTTGCCAAATGTGCCAAATATAGTAGAGTCTTAGCATTTAAATCCGCCATACCAAATTAAAGGACCTCTCCGACGACACACTCAAACCTATGAAAGTAAGATACGATATGAGACTACAGAACTTTGAGGTTAAATACGGTTGAACAGACAGATATCAATATATTTCATATGCACATGTGTCTTGCGCCTTCGCCGATTTAATATAAATTGTATCAAAGATACTATGGAAAGGAATAAACTCTCCCAAGTATTCCGAAAGATCTGTATAATAGGGAAAGTCCAACTGACGAGACTAAAATCTGATGACGGTAGTATCGTTTCGTAAAGGTGTAAAAAAAATACAGAGATCGAGCGATTCTACGGACAATTATATGCATATTGTGGTTTACTCTACGTTTTACCTACACTGTGCAATGTACGGAAAGTAAAGTACATTTTTGCCTCATATGTGATAGGAAAAGAACTTCGTGCTATGGAGTGATACTATACAGTACTGGCATGACACAGGATTCTCTCTTTATGATGTCTGCCTTATTGGCTCTACAAATTTATTTTGTGATCCATTCACCTACACTCTCTTAGAATAAAAACTATTACCTAATGTGTACGTTTTTGACAATAACATTTTTCATTCCACTGACCTACGACGGTGATGCACCTTTCCTGAAGAGATAGCTCCTTCGCCTTCTGCGAGATCTGCACATAGCTGCCACTCTGCTCTTTAATTTGCTTGATGTAGTTGCCCCCTTTGCCGATGATCATGCCCGCTGTCGAGTTCGGTACTAATATTTTAACCTGCAATAATTTCGATATTGTTCCGTTATTAATACTGACGGTTTTCTTTATAAGCCTTTTACATTGCGTACATTAGTAAAGAGAGAAAACATACTTTAACGGTATTTTAACTATAATAGATTCATTTAATAAATAGTTTTAATGTCGCAAAATTAGTTTAATACTTAGACCCGGTTTCTGAATCGAGTATTTAAAGTTAAGCACTTCTCAAATTGTAGTTAAACAGGTTCTGATTTAAGTTTTTTAATGGTCCGTTAATAGCAGTTTGATGAAATCTATGACTTTTTGCCTTGTGAAAAGTAAAACTTAAGTTATTGAGAATGATCAGTTGAGATTTTGTATTTTTCTTAATTCAGAAACCAAACCCAACAGCTATATTTTATTTTAAATATAAAGTTGAATATATTTTGGTTATTAGCAATCCAAACTAGTACGATAACCCCAACAGCAGAGGTGATAATCAGGCCATTATAAAGATAAATGAACAATTATCTGTCAGGTCCAATTGTGTGTCAATATAGAATTATAATGTAGCGAAAGACACGGATAAAAGCCGAATTTAGATGCGAATAAAAACATTCAATTTGTAATGACACAATATTGTATTGATTACAACTTAAGTACCCATAATTAAAGGTCAATCATAAGTAACGGTTATGGTAATCTGGTACAATGACATATCATGATCAGCTATTGATATAAATATTTACTTTAGTTAATTTAACGCGAATTGATCTAAGTTATGACGGGTTGCCAACTGTCACGGTTTAGGGTAACTCTATGTTGCCGACCTAGGAGACCCATTACCTCTCATGCTCCTTTTACAATTTAGATGGCAAGGATCATCATTTTTCTTTCGATTCCATTTATCGAAAAGTCAAATATAGTAAAATAGGTTTTATTCAACGACAATGTACATCAAATGGAAACATTAATATTGAGAACAACTAAAGTTTTAATGAAGAAAATGTCCAACCGCCCCAAAAACTATTACGACAATACCGCCATAGAGGAAAGTAGGTCAACACTCAATAACTACCAAAAAACTAAACCATGTCAAGTTTTCTCAGACAATAGTCTCTATATCTTGCGGCAGCTAAATATAATGTTAGATAAATATTAGGACGATCCACGCTAATCTCTACCTACATAAAAGGAGATGTCCTGACTTACTGACTGGCAGAAAATATGAAATGAAATGAAAATGAAATGAAAATATCTTTATTCAAGTAGGCTATTACAAGCACTTTTGAATCCTCCAAAAAACTTTTTTCCCCTACCACTTGTTCAGGACGTCTTTTAGCTGACAAGAAGAACAAGCGAAAGAAACTTATCAGCTTTTTATCATAAGTAATGACATTTACATAAATCATGTCATTACCAAAATAATATGTATTATCAATTTATCACAATAGTAAATACAACTTTCAAAGTCTGTAGGACATAAGTTGAACATATAATTAGTCTTTATAGAACAAAGCGAAGGCTATTAGTTCCATGCATTGCGATCCTTAAAATAATCATCAACTTTATAATAGCCTTTACTCACAAGTATATTCTTTACATGAATTTGAAATTTATTTATGGGTAGGTCAATTACATTTTGTGGAACTTTATTGAACATAGCAATACATTTACCCAGAAATGATCCTCTGGTTTTTTGAAGTCTGAAGCTTGGAACGGCAAGTTTATCTTTATTTCTTGTGTTAAGATTATGAACACTACTTTTTTTTGTGAAGGAATCGTAATGTTTTCTTGTGTACGTAATATTCTCATAGATGTATTGAGAGGCAACAGTCAGAATATTTATTTCTTTAAATATTTCTCTGAGAGATTCCCTAGACCGTAAATTATATATAGCACGGACAGCTCTCTTTTGTAAAATAAAAACATCCTGAATGCTAGCCGCAGAACCCCATAACAATATACCATACGTCATTACACTATGAAAATAACTAAAATATACCAATCTTGCCGTTTCAACATTTGTCAAGAGTCTAATTTTCTTAACAGCAAAAGCTGCAGAACTCAGTCTACTTGACAAGCTATCAATATGAGGATCCCATTGCAGTCGGGAATCTAGTGTAATACCAAGGAACTTTGTCGATTTTACTAACTCAACTTTTTCACTATTTACATTTATAAGTGTACTGACATGCCTCACATTAGGTAATGCAAACTTAATGCATTTCGTTTTATTTGAATTGAGCTTTAAATTATTATTATCAAACCACTGTAGAACGTTGTCGAGAGCATTATTTACATCATCAAAACAATCATTACCCCTCTCAACTTTAAACAGTAAAGAGGTGCCATCTGCAAATAATACTGTCTCGCACAAATTCTTCGTAAAGTGAGGAAGATCATTTATATAAATTAGAAAAAGCAATGGTCCTAATATCGATCCCTGAGGTACGCCCATAGTAAGTGGTGCCCCTGCAGATTTCGCTTCATTGATTACTACCTTTTGAATTCTAGCAGAAAGATATGATCTTATTAGATGAAGTGAATTTTTCGTCACACCATAATGTTCTAATTTCCCCAACAGTGTTTCATGACTAACGCAGTCGAATGCTTTTGATAGATCACAAAAAATGCCAATAGCATCTTGTTTATTCTCCCAAGCATCATAGATATGCCTCAGAAGTGCAATTCCAGCGTCTGTTGTACATTTACCTCTGCTAAAGCCAAACTGATTTTGGTGAAGTAATTTATTTAATGAAAAGTGTGCAAGCAGTTGATTGTACATCATTTTCTCAAATACTTTACTTAACACTGGTAGAATAGAAATTGGTCCGAAATTACTAGGATCAGACTTGTCGCCTGCCTTGAAAAGTGGGATTACTTTACCATATTTCATTAAATCAGGAAAAGTTCCTTCATCAATGCACTTATTAAAAATAAAAGTTAATTGAGGTGCTATAGCTGGTATTATAGATTTGATAACATAAGTTAAAACGCCCCAAAGATCATCGGTTTTTTTGACATTAATACAATTAAATGTTTTAATAATTGAGCAGACGTTAACATGTCTAAAATAAAATTCAGTATTGCACTTATCAACAACTGACTCTAGATGCGTAACCGCAAGTTTAGAACATGAACTAAGATTTCTTGTGATTTCTATTGGCGTCTTAGAAAAGAATTTCTCAAATGTCTCGGCAACCGCTTCATCTGTTTTAATAATTTTATTGTCAACCTCTAATGAGTATGTGCGCATATTACTTTTATTTTTACCCATTTCTTGATTTATGATAGTCCAGGTTGTTTTTATTTTATTTTCTGAATTGTAAATTTTTTCAGATATATATTTTGCTTTTGCTGAAACACATACTTTCCTAAAAATTTTCGAATAATTTCTGACATATTCAATAAACTTTGGATCGGTCGAGGTACACTTTAGCTCATACAAATCATACAGCCTATTTCGACTTTTGTAGATGCCAGGTGTAGCCCAATCACTAAATTTCTTTTTTTGGTTAGTAAAGTTAATTGTTTTGAGTTTAAATGTTTTATCAAATTCTCCCTTTATCAAGTTAAAGAAATTATTATAAACATCATTTATATTTTCCAAATTACTAGTTGTCAACTGAGTATGATTTGCAGAAACACTGTTTTTAAATTTTTCTAAATTACTTTTGGCAATAGGTCTACAAATTATATTGCATTTAGGAGAAACATGATGGTGCTCGAAAGTTGCTAGAACTCCGCTATGGTCAGATTGAATACAATTTATTATCGATTTTTTGAACACCTTACATTTACAAAAAATATTATCTAAGCAAGTAGCAGATGTGGGTGTAATGCGGGTAGGTTCATTAAAAATATTTTCTAAATTAAAACATTTAAACAAGTTCAAAAATCTACTTGATTTAGCACATTTTATTAAAATATCTATATTAAAAATCACCACATATCACTACTTTCTTATCGACTTTGCAAATTAATTTAAATGCATCCTCCATGGCAGATTCAAATTGACAGTAGTCCCCATCAGGTGGTCTATATACACATATAATAATATACTGTTCAAGTTCCACACATGACAATTCAATATGTCGCTCAATTGGGAGGGATACTATATCTTTACGTTCTTTACATTTTAAATAATTACTTATTATTATTAAAGAACCCCCTCGTATGGTATTTATCCTACAGAATGAACTTATAATTTTATAATTTTTAAAACCCGTAATTAATTCATAATTTTTGAGCCAGTGCTCTGTAATAAATATTATATCAATATTCATACTATTTAAACACATTTCTAATTCTAGATCTTTTCCAGAAAAGCCTTGTATATTTTGGTGAACAATAGTTAAATAGGTAGACTTTTCCTTAGTCATCTCATTGCTAGAGATTTTCTCTATTGTCTTAGTATTATTTTATGTATGGTGTCTTAGTATAATATTATTTTTGTGCTATACTATACTCCATTCATTATAGCATTAGACAGAAGTTAAATAAGGTTCTTTTTATGGTATACTTTGTGATAAAATATCAATAATCATGTTACTCTTAAGACTGACGGCTAATTTGGTACATATCCACTTAAATACCAACTGATATACTTAACTGTTCTAATTTAAGCTATCTATTAAACAAATTTATGAGTATTTGACCAACTGAAATGATTTAATAACTATTACAATAAAAAGTGTGCATCTTGAAGAACCTAAAGAAGCAGGGTTGGATAGTTTCGGCACTATTCTTATGTCACTATAACTCCACCAAATTTTTAAACATTGCGTCAACCCTTCAAACGTTTCGGCAGTACAGGTTTTTAATTTAGTCAGACTATAATGTATTCATAATTGTTAAAATACGTAATCTGGGATTGTCATCCGTTGTGAATGCTACTGCCTTTCTTTTTGTTTTGCCGTTTTCCGTGATTGAGTTATATTGTTTTATTTTTATTTTGTCATAGTTTTGTTTTTGTTGTTAAGTTTTGTTAAATATCGACGATGCCGGTGCAGGCCCAAGTGGCCTTCAGCAATTAA